CGAGACACCAAACAACAACGAGCGGTGGCTTGCTCTAAACGCCGTCCAACGCTTTTTTCCAAAGCCGCCGATCTCTGTCTTGTCTCCGGAGCCAACATCGCCGTCTTCGTAACCTCTCCCTCCGAAAAATCCGACGTCGTCTACTCCTTCTCCGGCTACTCTTCTGCCTCTGAGATTGCACATTGTTACCTCAACGGCAAGCTTCCTCCTAAGATTAATACTAACCCCCAACCCAAGCTAGGGTTTTGGTGGGAAGATCCCGATCTCTACAGTTCTTGTGACGATCTCTCCGAGTTGAACGTTATCAAGGATCGTCTTGAGAAAACCAAGAAGGATTTGATGGCTTGCCTTGAGAAGAAAGAAAACTCACAGTTTGTTTCTAAATTCGATCAAAACCCTAGCAATAATTCTGCCGACGAGTCTTGTCCGCAAATTGTTTCTTTCCATCAAAACCCTAGCTCCGACGATTGTGGGGCATCTTCATCACAATTTGTATCTGACTTCGATCAAAAACCAACCGCATTGCCTTCTCCACATATGGTTTCTTTCGATCAAAACCCTAACTCCTCTCTCGACGAAATCTGTGGCCTGTCTTTCGATCAAAATCCTGGCAAATCTCTCGACGAAATCTTTGGCTACCCTTGTTCACAAGTTGCTAATCCAAACCCTAGCTCCTCTGTTGAAGAAATCTATGGCGAGTCCTTGTCTGTTCAACCTTATTGCTTCGATACCGGTGATCTTGGATTTGCTAACACTTCTCTCGACCAGATCTATGGCGAGTCTTGTTATTCACAAGTTGCTACTTTTGATCCAAACCTTAGCTCCAAAGCCAATGAAGAAGAAGATGACTACATGGTCAATATCGAAGAACTTTTCAGTGAAGAAGAGTTGGGATTGCTCGGTTTCTGTGAGTTCATTGATTGAATTAAGCGGAACTACTGTTAATTAGGGTTTTAATCTTTAAACTCTTTTAACTGTTCTAATCTTGTAAGGTGTTATTACCGTCAATTTTTTTATTATGTAACGATCTGGAAACATTGTTGTTGTTGTTAAATTATTGATAGATAAATTGTTTTTTTTCCTTCCAAAATTTATTATTACTTTATTAGGAACCAAAGTGACTTAGAGCATCATTATCCATGAGATTTGGTGGGATATTGTGGGTATCATTAGATATAAAATTATTAAAATTTGAGTAAAAGGAAGAAAAGAGTGTTTTTGGTTGAAATAATGGAGTGTATTGAAATATAAAATTAATAAAATTTGAGTAAAAAGAGGAGATGAGTTGATACTTTTGGAGAGAGAGTGTCTTTGTATCAATGGGTTGATACTTTTGGAGAGAGTTTAAACTTTAGTTGGGGTGTGTTTAAATATAAAATTAATAAAAGTTGAATAAAATGATGAAAGAGAAGTATAAAGTTGAGTAAAAGGAAGAGAGAATGTGTGTTTTAATAATTTTATATCTAATGATACCCACCAAATCTCATGGATAATGATGGTCTTAACAGAAGAAGAAAAACATCTTGGAAACAGAGTATTGCTCAAAAACAACAAGCCTAGAAACAGAGCACACCACTAAATTATTGAGCATCACCACATATCCTTTCCTTGATGAAAAGTCTCTCAACCACCTTGACTGGTAATCTTATGATCAGACACTATCCTTGTTGCAATTTCAAAAGACCTTTATTGCATTGAGGTCACCCAGAGGATAAGGACCAATTTGGTTTATTGGACGCATTTAAGATATAGCAAAAACTATACTTTTGTTTTTTGTTGTTGAAATGTTAAATTTATTTATCAACAAAAAAGAAAGTTTACGAACTTATGGTTTGCCTCAAACATGTTGGTACAAAAACCTGTAAAAATCGTTAAAATCTCACACAATACTTGGAAGACTTTTGATCACTCGATGCAGCTTTAGCTTTGGAACACTATGTGGGTAATCGGGAAAAATCATGCCATCGCATTATGGCTTCATTATCTCCTGAGCTTGAGTCCTTGCGGAGTGAGAGCAGTCGAAGGGACACGCGAAGAACAAGTGATCCCGCGTTTCGTTAATCTCTCCACATAGTACGCAAGCTCGGTAGTCTCCCCATACTCTTGTGCGATCCCCTGTTGCGAGTCTGTTCCGGAAAGCTAGCCAAGCAATGAAAGCATGCCGTGGAACTGATTCTGTGAACCAAACCTGACGGTGCCATGTAACCTCTTGACCAACCGTTCTTAATTGCTCCCAAGTTTTCTTAGATGAAAAGCAAGACTCGTATTTATCCATGCTCTGTTTCCAGAGTGATATGTCCTCACCTCTCTCTGCTCTTGGCGGCTTTGTTGCTCTAATTTGTCTCAGCAACTCCTGGAGATGTAAACCACGACTACGCCGTATTTTCCAGCCCCTCTCGTCTGCAACATCAGCCACTTTAGTATTTTTGGTTACGCCCAATATTCTTGATCCCACCTCTCCCATTACTT